TCTAAGACAGATGACAAATGTTGAATATATGTGAATAAATGGTGAATATATGTGAATATACATACGTATACTTTTTTAAGTTAGTCTTTTGTGAAGATGTATGTGTATAAATACATTTATCTTAAATATATACAGTACATGCATAAATACATATATCCTCCTGTCGGCGCTAAAGGGCTGAGCTTAAATAACAGATCAATAAAAATAAAAATGAAAAGTTTTGTCTTACTACAGAATTAAAAATGTTTTTTGTTTTTTTTTAAAGTGACCATGTCTGAAACTTCAATCATTACTGTATCCATGTCCTTCAGCTGTGAACCACCTGTCAACACCGTGACATGATCACAGAGAAATCAATTACCCGGCGACGTTGTGTGTAATGTGACAGGAGTGGAACCATGAGGCGTGACCTGCTCACCTTTCACAGAAATATCATCAGGACCACGGCGGACTGAGAGGATCACAGGACGGATCAATAACAGTCTATTACATGTCTCTAAGGTAGGGAATGAAGAAAGTCTTTTGAAGAATTTAACTTATAGAACCGCGTGCCCTAGTGGTGGTAACTAGAACTGCAGCTGAACATCAGAGAAAAACAGAGAAAAAACAAAATCAAAAACAAAAACATAAACAAAGTTTCCTAATTTCTGGAACACTGATGACACTGACCTGCACAAGCCAGCCCACTAGGTGGCAATAATGCACTGGAAGATGCATTGCTCAAAGACAAGGAGTTGTCACTAGTCTGCCAAGCAACATGAATTATTGCTCACTCAGGGATTGAATTTATACAACACAATATTTTTAAATGATGCCTTCATATTGTGTTTATAGCACCCCCTGTCGGGGAAAAGGAGGAAGTGGCCAGATGTTTGTTTTCAAACAAACATATTTCCATCCTCTTAATGTTGTTAAATGTAGAAAAATGATAAACGGATTAATGCAAATTAATAATAAAATAATAATTGTAATTAGACTCTTTAAAAGTTGATTTTCTATAAATCCTCTTAATGTTGTTAAATGTAGAAAAATTATAAACAGATTAATGCAGAGTAAAACAAAATGTAATTAGATTACTTAGGTAAGTTAAGTTGATTTTCTATAAATTTAAACAATGTTTAAATTTAATTGATTCACAGCTACTAGTGAGATTAAAATGCACAGAAGAAACTTTTCATGTTTTTAAAAAATATATAAATGTTCCAGTTCTCATCTCTAGACTTGTCACAACTGTGCAAGAGTGAAAAAAAAAAATTCACAGACATTCACAGTGGGATGGAGGTTCCACCACGCTGCACAAAGGGACAGCAGAGAAATTAAAGTGTTTTTGATGAAGCAACGCTGCTACAAAACTGCACAAAAGGACATTCAGGTTAATTCTCCCTCTTCCTTCAGACGGAAGAACAGAAAACCCAGAGCTATAGTCAGAAGAGCTTCACTGCACCAACGAGGCACAAGTCCTGCCATTCTGGGACCAAAAAGCTCTCTTGACCAAGGTGACTTTCTGCTTAGTGGCAGATCAATCCAGACAGAGGTGGCAGCAGAGAGTAGAAAAAGACAGGGAGAGAAAGAGCATCTAAGTGTATGTGTATTTTTATTTATTTTTTTCCAAATAGCTGCAGCTCTGTACTGCAGTAGAAGACCAGACCAGTGGCTCCATCTGCCTTTAGTCAGTTCCCTCAGCATCAACTCAAACATCTTACCACTTTCTACAAACATGAACACTGGTTTGTCCAATAAGGGCAAGGGCTGCTTTGTATATTTCCAAGAAATTGATTTTTAATTACAAACTTAAAAACTAGCTATTTAAAAATTGTTAAATTAACTATATGGGTTACATGTTCATAAAACATTTCACATAAATCTATTAAGGAAGTCTTCTTGTATCATTCCGATGTATGGCGCGCAAACTCGTCAACCAGTTCACACTGGAACGTTGTCGTGCGGTGTCGTGCTTGGGAACTTTTTTTACCCTTTAGCGTGACTCCCAACTCAGGAACGAAATGTTAAAAAAATCCCCCCCGACTTCATCTTCATCCAGCAATTTGAAGTAAAATGCACAGATTTACGACAGAAATTGGTTTAAATGCGAGTGTTTCTACACTTGATTTGACAAAAAAAAAAAAAAAAAGAAAGAAAACGCGGGAATGAAAATAGAAACTCCCTTCATTAGTTCTGCGGGCACCTGGTTTTAAAAGATGCAACAAAATGACAGGCTGGGGAACATGTGCAGTCAGATCAGGTAGCGCTTTGAAGGGGAAACGTGGGGGAGTCGAGAGCAACATGTGACATGTGGAGCTGCACGCAGCGGGCGATCACAAGGTGCTGAATGTGCTTCCATAAACAGAGCTGCTGTTCTGTTCATTATTAATGCTGCTCATCTGCCAGAGTGTTTGAGTTTCACCACAAAACATCTTCCTGTGTTGCATCTATATATACTATACATATACTATACATAAAGTGTGTGTGTGTGTGTGTGTGTGTGTGTGTGTGTGTGTGTGTGTGTGTGTAAGTATATCTGTTGAGTGTTCAGACTTCAGTTCCAACTCATCTTGAGTAGAAGTAACTAAACATTTTTTTTTACTGTTCTAAAAAAATATACACAGTCCAAAACAAAAGACACGACCAAGGTTCAAAGATAAAAGCCATATCGTAACTTTTTAATCTTTGTTTCATTCCTTGCTTTAACTGGCACTTCTCATATAAAGGGACAATAAATTCACATCATGGCTAACTAGAAATGCTGACACTTGTTGGCGTTCCTAATCAAATGAAATCGAGCCAGGTGAGAACCCTGTGGTTCTCAGCCTGTGGCTCGCTGCTGTTATTTGGTCTCCATTAGGACAGCGCTAACAACGTCGACAGAAGATATTTTGCATCCGACTGTGGATCAAATGTAAAAGCAGGTGCTTGTTGAACGTCACACAGAACAGAAAAAAAAAATTCTAGAATATAAATCTGTCTATGAAAAAAAGGAAGATAGAGCATCAATAAAAGAAAACAACAACTTTCATTTAAAAAAAGAAAAAAAAAGAAGAGCAAAACACGTACAGGATGTAGGGTAACAGAGATAATAGCATAGCAACAAAAGTCAAGTAGAAAGGCCCCACACCAGTAATCCCATGTGCCTTAGAGATTCTCAGAGATAAACAAAGAAGTCTGTCATTTAGTTTAGTATTTCTTTACCATCCTTAGCATAGAACTATATTTCCAAGCACACCAGACCATCCGTACAATCCAATATCCTCCCATAAATCAACACATAATCCAGTTACTGCAGGGCAAAGCGGGTGACCTTAGAGGCAACTGTCAGTTGTTTTTTTTCCCGCATTTACTTTAAGTTCAACAGACATGGGAGGAAACAATGCGTTTAAGCCACACAGCTGAAGGCAGACACAGTCGGAACCAGCCGTATGTAAACGCGGGCATGTTTTATTCTTCAGGCTCGGAGCTTCAGCACATTAGATTTCGAGAGGTAACGCAGTTAAAGTAGAGTCCTTAGAGAAACTGGACGGGCCCAAAAAGTACGCATGTGTTTAAACTCCTATAAAAGATGCAGCATTTTCCCCTTTTAGGGATAGTTCTTAAAATATCGTTAGCCTCACAGCTACATTGCCCAAGTCATACTTTTTTTTTAATGAAAGATGTAGTTGAAACTTATAGTTTAAATTAAAAAGGTTATTGAGTTGAAGATCTTTCAGTGTGTCGTTCTTTAATTCCTGTGAGCATTTCAGCATGGTGTTCAACTAAACAGACTGAGATCTCGCAAAGAGTAGAATTAAAAAAAAAAAGGGTTTTTTTTTATTTAATTCAATTCCATTTTATATATTTCTTGGGACGTTTTTGTTTAGTAGTTTTAGTAGTGCACCGTGGAATTTTTCTAATGTAAAATATGTGCCGTGGCTCAGAAGTGGTTGGGAAACATAGACGTAGGCAATTGAGCTATAAAGCTAACAATATCATGGTTTCTTTTCCTTTAGGTCCATTGTTTTGAAAAGCAGCTCAGTTCAGATAAGGAGAGATTAAAGGCAGGATTATAATCCCTGTAAATGATTTGTGACAGAAATAAATGTAATAAAAGTTCTTAAAGAACTCTGTGCACCATGTACGAAAACTAAATATTTTTCTGGCTAACCCATTAGCCTGGAAAAAAAAACAAAAACAAAAACGAAAAAAAAAAAACAACCTAAGAAACAATAATCACTCCTCTAGTTGACCTCCACCTCTTTGGTAATGCCTATAGTTCCATGTGTATGTGTACTTTCAACAGTCATTTACTCTGCAGACGCAAAAAAACCAAAAGCTCAGTCACGTCATACTTAGAAGGTCCTGAGTGTAACAGTTAAAGTTGGACTCACATCGAGTTTGTTTCTCTTTGTTTGGACTCACAAAAGGTGGAACCGACTATTCTGCAGTGAAACATCACTGAGCCGTGCCCGTAAATCAGCCAGTACCGTTTGAAGTACAATATCTTGTACCCACTTCAGTAATACAGTCTGGCTTTGACCTTGGAAGGATTCAGCATCAGATGCAAACATCAAAAAAGACGAGAAGAGAAAAACAAAGCAGCCGACGGATGACAAAAACACAAGCCAGAAGAGCGGCTCAATTACAGAGGGCAAATAAAAAAAATGAAGAAAAAAAAAATGACAAAAGAAAGGGGACAAGCCAATCACAACATCTCTACAGCAGGGTTCTGCTTCTGTTATGGCTCAGACATGTACAGTATGTACATGTACATGTAGGAAAGTTGCCTCGGTGAATCCTGAAAAACAGACTCTGTAACAGAGAGACAAGTGTTTTAGCTCTAATTTCATGTGCTGAAGCTCAAAGCTTGAAGGAAAAAAATAAAATAAAATTCAACATTTCGGATTCTACTTGATTTTGTTTTTCCGGGCCAGACCCTGAGGTATCGTGGGAGAGGTTTGTGAATTAAGTAGCAGACGATCTTGTGAAGAACAGATAAGACACATAAAGAACGTCAATGGCACTTTTTTTTGTTTTTGCAAACATTTAAGATAAAACTTTAAATTTTCTGAAGTGTTAAGGTTGCAGATGAGGCTGCACTAGTGTCCTGAGGGTTTGTAGTGGTCATGGAAGGTCAACTGAAGGACAGTGACACAGACCAGAGAGGACTCTGTGTGTGTTGTCTGGTTGGCCGACCAAACATTCACCCAACATCCCCTGCAGCAGGAAGTGGGTTTTAAAGCATATTGAAAACAGGAGCTGTTCGAACCCCCTCCCTCCGTAGGGACGAGGCGCTGTAACAAAGTAATTCTTGACCTTAAAAAAAAAAGAAAAAGAAAAAAGAAGACAGAGAAACGTGTTGTCCCTTTTATGTCCATTTTTTTTTTGTCTTTTGCTTTCATCCATGGCTTTCAATTTCCCGACTGACGTGAGTCCTTGTGCAACTGTGCCCCATAAATATATAGATCTGAAGACAAAAAAGAAATAATCAGAGAGAAGAGAGAGAAAAAAAATCTAACTCTGACGCAGGCTTTAAGATCCTGTGAATATATGTGGTTAAAATCCCAGCTGAGAGGTAAACAAAGTGTCGACTGTTGGGTTTGTGAGGGATACTTTCGTCCCTCACCATTCAAGTGTCACTGATAAACAGGGACGTAAACGCTAGTGTCAGTTGTTCCTGTAGGTCTGACAGTGTGTGTGTGTGTGTGTTTTTGTGTGTGTGTGTTTGTACACGCTTCTGGTCTTAGTGGCAGAATAATCCAGGCTGAAGACTCACGGCTCCCCGTCTTCACCTGGATGACTGTTAGTGTGCTGTGTTGACCTCCTGTGGGCCGCCGGGGTCAGCGACCCCCCTCACGTCACCAGTTGGCTTTGACGGCTCTGACATCACTCACCAGGTTCTGAGCCAGGCAGATACCGAAAATCTGTGGAGGAAGCCGCAGAGAATATACAACCAGGTCGCGTGTTTGTTTGAGGGTGAGAATATATCATGGTTGGGGTGAGAATTAAATGAGACGCTGCAGTGACTGTTCTCACCACTAGATAGCAGTGAAGATAAAAAAAAAAAATCATAGCATTTTTTTTTTGTTTGTTTGTTTCAGCATGCACACAAATGCACCACCAGCAGGTGGTTCCCTCATTTCTAATGTTTCCAGGTTGAGTCATTCTTACCTGTAAAAGTGCAATACCAACAAAGATTCCAGCTACAATGATCAGGTTGTCCTGAAGCCACTTCTCAAACTGGCCCACACAGCCCTTGGTGTAGATGTATTTCTGACGATTCAGTTCCTGAAAAAAAAAACATAATAGAAATGGTATTATTCACAGTAATACGTGGCCTATTTTTCATTGTATTTTCAAGTCCTGCTTGTCTATCACTTTTTTTTTTCTTTTTTTTTGCACAATTCAAACCAACACCCAACATCTGACATCACCAACCGATGACTAATGTAGGACAAAACAGAAATGCGTCTCCATGCAGGGAGGGAGGGTGAATGAGTGTGGAGTTGACCTTGGGTCACGACACGTCAGTGTCTGGTCATCACGGGGAACACAGTCTGTGTGCTCAGCTTCTCTGTGGACTCAGACTGAACAAACAGGCAGAATCTGTTTCCTGTTCCCGGACAGATGGCTGTTTGCAACATCACATTCAACCCACTGCGTATGTGGGCTTTTCAGAGATGGAAATAAACAGGTGTAATTTAGAGCTGCATCAATTTTGGAGCCAGCTGAAAAGGAGAATGAGAATGGGTGGGAACCAGGCGACACAATGGCCTCTTTGTCGCACGTCAAGACAAGTCAACTGGCGGGGAAGCCTTTTGTTCCTTATAGAACCCCAGAGCTATCTTTGAACCAATGGGAGGCAAAGAGAGCCCTCTGGCAGCCAATAAAAATGCAGGAAACGCAATGCTGTTCTCACGCTGAACTTCCTCAGTAGTTATTTCAGCCGTTGCCTTTGTTGTGCTCTCCTGTCCTTCCCTTGTCTCCTGCTCTTCCTGTGTTTTCTTGTTTAAAAAAAAAAAAAAACCTGCAGAGGAAGTGGCCGCACATCTCTGGTGGGCAAAATGTCTGCAGCCGGGGCGATAGCACGAGAGCTCGGGGAAAAAATTAATTCATAACAACTCAAAGGCAGGTGGTTGACTGTGTTGCAGTGCGCCTAGCAACAGCAGAGGTTCAGACTGCAGTGCAGTGAGTTGTAACCACCACACCCACACGCAGAGGGAAAGGGAATGGACTGGCATAACCCACCGAGTTGCCAATTACAGAGTGTAGTAAGGCTGGTCTCCGGGCTATAACTGGAGTCTAATTACCCCTGTTAGCAGAACAATCTGTTATTAAGGCAAGAAGCATGTAGAGATGCCCGTGTCCTACTTAACTCTTGACATTCTCCCGCGTCTGCTGTGTCAGCAGTCACTATTTTAAGGTATTTCACTTATTTCTCACCAAAAGAATATTTAGTCCTCTTTAAACAGCACTAGGCTCCGAAAATACAATAGTCCTCTTTAAACAGCACTAGGCTCCAAAAATACAATTCAAGATTGATGTGGGTTTTTTTTTTTTTTTTACGAGAGCCAGAAACAATAGCTACAGTCTACGTATTGATTTGGACGCAACTAATTGGCAATGAGAGATGGGGAGTTCAGATCTACAAAAGTAATAACAGTATCAAATAAACAGGAGGTTATTTGAAAACAAAAGAAAAAAAAATCTCGTCGGTGTAATTTTGAATCGCTTTTCCATTCATTTTCCTTTATATCACGTTAAACACTTTACAACATTCCTGTAAAAAAAAATCTCGTCGGTGTAATTTTGACTCATTTTTCCATTTATTTTCCTTTATATCACGTGAAAAATTTTACAACATTCCCATGTTGACTTATCTCAAATAATCAGGATTAATTAAAATTACGATTAATCATGATTAATTGCAATGAATCCACAGCTACTTGATCGGATTACGTTTTTTAATTCAAAGTCAGTTCTACTGAGAACCAACTGAGACGTTTTGGTACCAAATTATGGGCTTTATTTTCTGCCATCTACTTCTAAGGACAACCACTCACAGACAACCTGGTCTAACAAAACAAACCTCCTACAAATGAACCCAATCTCCACTCTGGCCTCACATCAGCTCAGATCACTTCAATCAAACAGCCAGGCAGCTCATCAAACTCTGCCTCAGGAGTAAATCTGCTCCGTAGAGTTGGTAGGTTTGACCAGAAAAGCTGACAAGAACTGACAAACGATTCCTCTTCTCTCTCTGTGTGTGCACTGAAACCAAGGCGTAGTTTCATAAGGTCAAAAATGTACACACTTATCGGAACAAGACGAGAACATGAAGGGTAAACAAACACCATGTTAAGTATAAAGACACCCATACATCACGGGTGGTGATGCTCACCGCTTTCAGCCGAACATCGTAACCACACTGTGTGTTTATGACATCCTCCTGTGGAGAAAAAAAAAAAAGAACAAAATGTGAGTTCACCGATTAAATTGAAATGTCACCATCTTTTTTTTTTCAGCTGAGAGAAAAGAAATGTTAAATGAGTATTATTACCGCAGTCAAGCTGTGAGAGTGGATCAAAAATATGTTTACCACAAAGACTGTATTTTTAAATGATTTAAAAACCTTTACTTATTCCATTAAAAATTACACCACTTTACAATATTTATGCCCAAAAGGGATGCTTAAAATGACTTGGAAAAAAAAGGTGCACTGCAATACGCCCCCTGGTGGATGAAAAGGATCCGCTTGCTCGCATTACAGAAAAGACAATATTCCTTGTTCGATTCAAGTTTTTTTTGTTTTGTACGTAGTTTGAATATTTTGAGTTTTGTGTGAGTTTTGCCCATGTACTCTGCCACTCATGACTCATGACTCTGGAAATAATTGAGGGGCTGAAGATGGAGACGGCACTAAATATAGAGGAAAAATATATAATAAAATATAGGGAGAATATGGTGAATATGATTAGACACAGACACGTCAGATATAAAGAAGACAGGTTTAAGTACAATGACAATCACTGACAAGACAATGTCAGTATATAATTGGAAGGTCAGTCAATCAACCACGCCCAGTGTCTGGCCACTTTTCACGTTCTTCCTTTACTTTGTCCTCTATTTTCCTCTACATTGAATTAAAAGTTACAAAAAAAAAAAGAAAAAGTGTTCTACCAGAGAAGACATCAAAGACTTTAACCTTGTGAGGAAAAGGTTAACGACCCTCTGAGCCCGAGTTTTGTCTTGATGTACACTGACACTAATTTGGTGCCAAAATAGACCCGAGCCGTCTGGGTCTTCTTCTTTCTGCCCGTAACTAATTAGTTTCTTCAGTTCAGCTGGGCCAGGCTTTTTCGGTGGCTAAATAATATTTGGACCAAAACATATATTGTAATGAAAAAACTAAATTGAGTGTTTTTAGTATTAAAGCACAATCTTTGCAGAAAAATAAACAAGCATCTGTCCAGCCACACAATAGCATTTTTTAATGCTATTTAAAATTTCCGCTTTGAGAGCGACAGGTTACACTATAACAGTGGTTCCCAAAGTGAAGGGCGGGCCCCTCTTGGGGGATATTGTGGGCGGCCTGGCAGGTCAAATTAATATCATTTTTAATTATACCACAATCACACAGTAGGAGCAAGCTTTACTGAATTTTTACTCGACAAAATCCCTTTCTATAAAAGGTTGCAGAAACGGTGTGGGAACCTGTAGCGTTGACTGCTAACAGTTCTAGACATCACATGTTGCTAGGCTACGGTGACTGTGTTCCATTCATGCTCTATTCTACTTGTATTTAATTTACTGCATTGCAGTTTCCCTCTGCGTTTTTTAATTGACCATACACTTGGCCACTCTGAGGTTGCGTATGGGCAGCATGTGGCCCCGAGCCACTATTTGAAAATGAATATTTTATAAGTATTCCATGGTGAGTGATTTATACGCAGCTAAAATGTTTAATTGTCGGCTGAATGACTCACCGCAGGATCTTTGACACAACAGGAAAAGGGAACTCCACAGCGCTCCCTGCTGGGGTTCGTGTCAGTGCAGTTAAAGTAGATGTTTAGGTTCCAGTCATCTGGTCCATGAGCTCCACAGCACGACCACTGAGGGGAAAGATCAGCAACAACAGGAGATTAAACAGCTGCTTCTGACTGGGGGACTTCTCTTTTTTTTTTTTTCTTTCTGATCATCTCTGCGCAGACGGCACCGAGAGGCAGCGAGACACCAGCAGTAGAACAACAACACTTATAATTGCATTTACAGTATATGACAGAAACCAGCATTTTCACTTGGGAGCCAATTATATCAACCGTTTTATTTTTTGTAATTGGAGCATCATTTAGAAGGAAATGAAATCACATTATACACGTGATTTACTGAAAAGCTCCAGCAGCTGACTCATCCCCGACTTACTGTCTGATCTGAGCAGTTTCACATCTTCACAGTTAGTCACATGCGACGGCGTGTACTCACATATTCCTGGGCAAAGTCAATGAGATTTTGCAAGTCTATGTCATCACGGTAGGCCTTCACATTGTTGTTGATGAAAAGGTTCAGCTGGTCTTTGATCCAATCTTTAAAGACGAAGGCCAGGACCCCTGCTGTGAGCTCCAAGAAGAAGATCAAGCCCAGGAACACAGAAAACTGGGGAAAGTACAGTAGAAGATGCACATCAAGAAAAACGCACAGACCCGTGCACCCACTCAAAACAACATCTGTCGCTGCGGTCGGGAGATTTTTGTAAAGGATCAGAACGACGCCTTCAGACCAACTTTTGTTTTTTTTTTTAAACAAAGGATTTGTGATCAAATTCATTCAAAGACAACGGCGCTCATGTGTGATGACCCTTACAGCCAGAGTGAAAGCACAGCAACATAAACCGCAGTCCCAGTGGAACCGTTATCATCCCTTTACAGTAACTGTAGGGGGAGACAGGGATGATAAACGCAGAAAAGCCACATTAGCTGCTCACTCTGACGCCTGACTTACTGCTGCTAATGGACACAGACCGGAGTTAATAGCTACTCAGAATCACAAAAAGAAACAACGGCCAGTTTGTTTCAGTCAGTCACACGTCAGCTTATACCATGTCATCGTAGCCCAGCTGGAATAAGCTAAGAGTGTGGTGCACTGTCTGTGAAATGACTGCAGATAAGGTAAAAAGGATTACCATTTCTGACCATAAACTCCTGCTAGAAAAGGAGACTTTTTAGTGACGGCACATTGCACGGGGCATTTGGTTGGGGTGAGTCAAGGTGACACCTGCTACAGTGACAGCTCGTGTGTGAACAGCAGGTCTGAAGGGTGTGAAGTGGATCATACGGTGCCTGTGCTCAGAAAACCTGGGGGTGGCTTACGAATTTAAGCAGGAAGGTGTTCTCTCGGAGCGCTCCGATACATCCAGCAAATCCTAGGACGAACATGACGCCGCCCACGACAATAAAGAGCCACACTGGATCGAAACCCCCGAGGTCCGTGATGGATGACAGATTGGACAGCACGCCCTGAGGGGAAACAGAGGCCGAAGGGAGTCGTTTTAATTGTGAATATAATACTTCCAGAATCGATTCCCGAAATCTCTTCTGCATGGTCTCATCATAAGTTTAACACTCTATAAAAAGTATACATGTCTAAAGATTTAGACGACAGAGCGGAAAAAAATTAATTAAGCTGGTGATGTCTCTCATATATATACATATATACACACATATACACAGACAACATAACTCTATATTGTGTAGTAGTGACTATATACCGTAAGAATTATACTATATACTGTATATACTCTAAGAATTTAATCATTTTTATATTATTTCATATATATTTTTATGTTTACAAATCAAACACTTGTTTGTAATGGAACTCCTGTCCTTCCTGTCTGCCCATAACGCCCACAAGCCCTTGGGCCACAGGGTGTACCACATGGCCAACAGTCGGCCTTTATCCTGCTATAGGATGACATTTGAACCTCTGGCTCAACTCCTAGACAGATATTGCACTTTAACAATCTCGTTTAGGGCCCTAAATATATGATCTGTCATAAAAACAATGTCAAATGTCACACAGATAAAGTGTCTTTTGTGTGGTTGGGTATTGTTGACAGAATCTGCTCATCTTTTCTGCCTCTAACGGCTCCAATATATCATTTTATAAAAGTGTAAAATAACAAGACAAGATCTGGTAGCATTTCAAATCATTATGATTTGGATATAAAAATATTTTAATCATGTAATGTGATGAAACACATTAAGATTTCCATTACCCCGAGATTTTAAATGTCAGGGGCGAGTTGTTAACATAGAGACTGACTAAAAGATAACGCGGTGTCTTTGGGCTTAAGACAAAATTTCCTTTTCGTGTTTTAGCAGGAGGCTCAAACACAATAATGTGGTTGGGCTGCAGACAGTGGCTCAAAAGTAATCAGCTTAGACACTGGGAACCAAACTCACTATTATGCCTTTCTGGTACCAGCTATTCATCACTTGACAAAACCCTTAAATTATTCACTCTGCTTCGCAAAGGTACTCTGGTGCAGGCCTGTTTGCCGAGTTAAGGAGCAGATGTTACTAATGACTACACGTTTCCGAGGCATTTAGTCGAGTAAAGAGGAAAATATCTAGACAATGAACTAACTAATTGGCTGTATATGTGATTTAAATGAAACCCGAATGAGTGCGCTGCACTGGGAGGTTGATGGCAGCACCTGGCGTTTAATGCTATTCCTGTAGAAAAGACACAATTACCCATTTCCATACAAATCTGGAGGCCCATTTAATTTATGGTGTTCTCCAGCTATTTCCATTTTCAAACAGTAAAATTGCAGCACAGGATTTCATTCCGCGGCACAGAATTTTATCAGGTAATATGTATTTAACTGTTACAGAAAACGGTGCTTCTAATTCTGCACAGCATTATCTCTGCGCGCCGTACTCTCAGCTTATTTCAGTCCAAATGGGAAAGAATGTTAGCTATGCTGTCGAGGCAATCATGTACCAGTGGGTCTGTGTGTGTATATGTGTGTGTATGCACTGTTGTTTGTACTTACCTTCTCCGCCCATGCCCACAAGCCTATTGCCAGGAATGCTGCTCCTAGTAACTGTAAAACAAAGCACAGAGAAGACAATCTTGTTACCTAGTAAAGCAGCAGCTCTCTTCCACCTAAGATCTAAAGATTCAATCCTGAGATGACAGTTTAATTCTTTTACTTCTTTTTTTTTTTTCTTCCGAGCATCAAATCAAATAAAAGGAGAGTAAAGCAATGAAGATATGTCAATACACTTAAAGACCATGGGCAACGATGTTACTCAACATCAACAGCAGCAGGGACTGGGGCAGAGAGCATTTACACAAGACGCTGCTCTGTACGGGGATCCTGGCTCGGGTTTAAAAGTGACATGCAGGAAATGTCAAGGTAAGCAGCGAGCGATCAGTCACACAGGATTAGACCGACAAGAGTGGGATGGTTAAAGCACTAAATCTGTGACTAAACTCCATCAAAGATTACTGAGGGCAATAACCACACAGAGAGAGAGAAACATCACCATGGAAATTAAAACCAAACATCTCCACCTTTGATTGTTTTACTTGTAGTACTGTAATTCTTCTCATTTGAAAAATAAAGGATTTAAGTCAGGGCTTTTCTAGCTATTTTACAGTAGTCAGGGCATTTGCAAACAATTCCTTAACCTTTGAATATGGAGGTTTAACCTACACTACAATCCAAAAGTTTGGAAGGTATACTCATGAAAGTGTTTCAATTTGATCTCTTTTCCAAACGTTTGGAAAGCATTATTTGGGGTGTTACATCATCAATTACAGGTACATTATTACTTTAAAGCTTAGTTATCTAATGTATTTTTTAATAACATTTCGACATTGTGGGATAACTTCAAGGAAATGTTGAAGAAAAACAAAACAAAATGGAAGGAAACGAGAACTGTGTAGTCGGTAATTCCAAGTGAACACAAACTCCAAGTGTAAGCATTCTTCAGAAATCAAACAGGTAAAATCAATAAAAGATAAATAGAAAAGAAATGCCCACGTAGACACTCAGTACAAAGCCTCTCCAGCTGACTGGAAGCTTTTATAGCAACACATTGGCTCCACAACAATGCCTGTGGATTTAGACTGCCATGTCATAAAAGCTCCTGTAGGTGTAATGTGGAGGTGGTCCGATACTTTTGCCCATATGGTGTATTTCGTCAAAAGAAAAGATATGATTTCTTTACAGAAGTGTAACATTTAGAGGACAAAGAGCCGAGAGTGTTAATCAATTGCCTCTTTATTCTGCCGCTTCCAAAGTAAAAGGCCAGGGTGCATGATGGGAAATGTCTCTGTTTATGACCAATGTATAATACTCATTTGACAGGACTGCAATGCATGGCATGTCTCATTCCTTCAGTTTAGAATGACCTTCACAAAGGAAGTAATGCCGACACCTATGAATGTTATTGTATTGCAGAAATAAAGCCATGGTCTCAGTGTAGATTTTACTGTACTGTAAAACCATGCAGTGTTAAAACTATGGTTCACTGGTTCCACAAGAAGAGTATCCTGCGGTATAGAGTCAACACATTATGGGAGTGTATTAAAATTGCAACTATATGTTGGCAAATGTGGACTTAAATAACTAAAAATATATGCTCGATATACAGACATTACAGACAGTCCATAATCCTTTAAAAAAATCATGTCAAAGTTCATTCATTTGGTTTGCTGGATTGTACATTTACAATTAAAATGCTGCACAGTACACCACCGTTAGCACCATTACCAAACAGAAACCAACTTCAGCAGAGGTTTTAGAATTTTTGATATTTTATTTGGTTTGCTAGATTGTACATTTAGATTTAAAATGCTGCACAGTACACCACCGTAGAATGTTTGTTATTTCGGGAACAGTCGATTATTATTATTATTATTATTATTATTTCTGTCATGAAAAAAAATAAATGTATCGTAAAGTTCGGCTGCAGTGTAACGACACGATTATTATTATTATTATTATTTCTGTCGTGAAAACATAAATGTATCGTAATGTTCTGCTGCAGTGTAACGACATGTTAAAATAAGTGCCATTAGTGAGAGGTTTCACTTCCCAATCACACAAATAGGCTGTTCATCCAGGACTCATAAACCCATAAACTAATGTAATTATAATTAAACCTTCAAGTACAATTCAGATATAAACAAACATTATTGTAGGTTTTCAGTGAAGAACAAATAAATACACAAAAAAAGGTTCCTGTAAATTTCTTTTTTTAGGCACAGTGGTACACAATCATCCCAGACTGGTGCTGAGAAATACAAAAACAAATCCAACATTACTCTTTGGGTGGGAAAATGACCCACAATTCACTCTGAGGCTGCAGCTGAGTAACAACCAAAAGAAGCCAAAAACAGAATCCAAGCCACTCGAGTGTAAGGTGAAAGTGAGGCCTCGCTGCCTGTGAGACAAGCCTGAAAAACTATTGATTTTTTTTTGACTCATCATCAACAGGTGAAATGTTTTTCTAGCAGAGTTGTTGATGCAGTGAAAGAAGAAGAGACACATGAGAACGGAGCATGAAAGCTTAAGGGCTGAATCAGCACAGACAGATAATGTCATTCAACAACAGGGAGGTAAAAGTAGAACTACAGTATCAGTACTTTATGTACACACGGAGCAAGAAAATTGAGAAACCTTCAATGGTTTAGAACCTTCGTGTGGTAGCAGTGAAATTGCATAATGTTAAAATAAAATAAATAAAATATATAACAATGTTTTTTTCTGAATTAAGGACCATAAACAAGCCTGATTTACCAGGAGATCACTGCTTCAACGTCTGGCACAAAGTCATAGGCTTCCTGTGTGATAATTGCATATCTGCCCATTCACCCCAGGGGCACACCGGTTTCCTTCAGCTTCTACATTTCCTGCCTCCAGTCCAAAAAAAAAAAAACGCATGTTGGTTTGCCCTGTGTGCGTAATTTGCTTTGTCCGGGAGACAGTACTGTCTTCGTGAAGCAGAAGGCTTTTTTTTTTCTATATCTTATCCTATTATTTTTAATCATCCTTTTTCATCAAGAATTCAATAAAACTTGCCTGAGACGTCCTTGTACTTTTTCATTTATTATTCAAATCGAGGTTGTTGCTCGGGTTTCTCTTTCTGTCACGAACTGCTGTGCATTAGGTTTCCCTCAGTCCGAGTCAAGGACCCTGTCTCTATGTGGACACAGAACTCATCAACACTATACAAGATGCCTCTCGATAAAACAACAATTGACTAACAAGACAGACATATAAATAAAATCATGTTGCCTGAATACACACGATATAACAATATAAAATGCAGTTCTTGGGTGTGATAGTAAATGAAGTGATTGGTGATGACACACTAACAGACAAGGTAACGAGGTAAACAAAACGTGAAGCAATCCTGAGGAAAAATAAAACTTGCATGAATTCCGCATCTATATTTCTCTGGTCTGAAATCGATTTCTGGTTCATGTGTATTTGACTGGGATACATCGTCCGGGGCTATACAATATCTAAGAGGTTCTGTTCAATGTCATTTCCTTGGCCATGAAAGATAAGAGAATTCTACAATCAACACAGCAGTGGAGCAGGAATTACAACACAACATGGACTGTTCTTGTAACCTGTTCTTCCACCTCATTTTTAAAGAGGAATTCTTTTTACAGAATAAGTTGTATCACTCACTCAAGCTGTTACAGCCATGCTGCACCAAAGCTCAACAACAGAGGCAGACTGTTCAGCCATGCCGTTTGCCTGATGTATCATTAAAATTCCTCAAAGACATCATGATTCCTTATGAGACATCACTGGGTGGAGAAAAAGCAGAGCCGTCGACTCCTTTTCTCGTTTTCTTTTAAAATATGTGGGCTTCATTGGCTGACGAGGACGAGAAGGGCTTCGTCTGTACTGGCCTGAGATATTTTCTTTTCTTTGCCTGGTGACAGGTCTTTGTGACCTAGGGTTATGTTTATACTAAAAATGTAGGGGTGGTTCTTAAATATTTTGAATGCATATGTAGTACCTACAATGCAAATGCAAGTAAACATAGGAACATATGTAAATCACAAAATATGCTGCTGTCTCAAACAAGCTGTGTAGCTGTGAATGCATACAACTTCACTGAATATGGGACACACATATGTTTACAAATGTATATGTATGTACTGTATATACATATATAAAAACACACATATACCCATTCACAGATATACATATATATATATATATACAAATATATATGAGATACAGCCATCTCTAGAGATGACTCAAAATTGTGCTAAAAAAAGGAGAGAGAGAAAAAAAAGCATCCATCCACATCCACTGAGCAGCAGCTTTGTGGACAGAGGTGCTGTGGTGATGAGAGAGGTCAGTTGGGAATAGTCAGGTTGGCTGGATTTGACAGAGAGGCTGTGATAACCACTCTTGATAACTGTGGTGACCAGCAGAGCATCTGAGCTGAAACAACATGGCAAATATTGAAGTGGACTGACAACAACAGCAGAACAGAACATCAGGGTACAATGTTGTCGGGCAACAACATTTTTTTTTCTTAAAATGCAATGCGCACTGCGTCACATCACGCTTCAGGCTGGTGTGAAAATGAAATACTAACCTTAGTCCCCTGTGTAATTTGTAGCTCTAACCAGAAGTCAAGACAAGCACAAGACCAGGACTTAGAGATGGGAGATGCTCATTGGTATCAAAGTATATTATTACACCCGAGAAAAGTATCAGGATTAGACATCCATATTAAACATCAAGTCTCTCTCTTTACATTGAACCATGTGTAGTAGAAAAATAGACTAAAACACTGCTGCCTGTGACTTTTTCACAGGGAAGCAGAATTATTGTAAGAACATCAATTTCCCTGGAAAATTATTTACTTTTATAGTTCAAATACATTTACAAGTTTTGTTAGTCCATCAGCATCCAATACTAGTTTTAAAACCCTTAAGATTCTTCAACAATCTATTTTGCCCATGTCTTGTTAATCCCCAACCTCGACAGACAAATGAATTGACCAACAGATGAAATTAAGATGCTTTTATAAACAGAAAGCAGATCCTAGCTATGTAGTGACAGAAAGAAGTAGCGACAAGTAACATCGTACAAGGAAATAAATACCAAACAAGCTTTGTTTTATTTCACTGATGAATAGAAAAGCTTTTTTTTTTTTTTTAATAAAGGTGCAGCTTATTCTCTCCTCTCAGTAGGGAGGACAAAGATTATCAGTCTGCAGCACCTGTGGTGGAGAGGTCTGAGCAGAGGGCACTGTGGAGGCCACCTTTATCCCAAGCTTTTCCTGCCCGACCTGGAGATTATCGTGGTGCACCGCCGCAGAGAAAATGCGCCCACTGGACACAAGCACTTTAAGAAAAGGGCGGTCTGACCTGAGTGATTTGCATCATATATTCCGTTTAACTATATGTTGCATTTTAAAAACCACAAATTGATCTGAGAGTTTTCTTTCACCACAAACACACAGGACACTTAATTTCAGGCCGATGTCCCTTAATGGTTGAAATGTCAACAAATACATGTACTTGAGTTATGAAGTACTACTACTACAGTATAAGCATGTTAGTTTAGTTGTATTTTATCTGATTTATCACAGGACAGCTGTGGAATAATCATATTTAGTCGGCAGTATCTTGTGATCCATTTGGTAGTTGTCAGTCAGCTCGTAGACTGAGCAAAGTCTGCATGGATTGCTTAAAAATGTACAACCCCAGTTACAAATGCTATAAAAGTCAGGTTTACACAGATTATTGTTTGCAAAGTCCTCAGACAGTGTCTGAACATGCTGCAACAAACATAGTGTTAACAGTCAGGAATCATGAATTGTGGGACAGGAAGTTGAATGAAGTAGAGCGGCAGAGCTCGTGGGAACGTAGTACGTTTGAGTTAAGTAGTGTGCAGCATATAAACGGAGTAGGAAAGCGCAGCAGTTCCAGCTTATGAGATTGCAATGTGATCTGTACTGCAGTATTTGGTCTCCGATTCATGATCGTTGCAGAGCTTACTGTGCACAGTGGAGTAATAACCCAAACACCCAATACGAGACGCAGCAAATGTGTTTTCAAATGTCTGCATTCACGTTGGTTTTCGTCTGTTATCCACCTGTGTGGTGATCACTCAACGCACATTTTCAATGCCAAATGACTACTACAGCCGGATAATAACACACAGGCTGCCTTCAACCAAGTCAGCAACTTTGTCACAGCTTAACAGGGTCTTAATTACAGCTTGCCGAGCCTCCAAACATTTTAGCAGCTCAGGCAGAAAATGTGATTAATTAAGTGGATGTGAGGAATGTGTCTATTCTAGGGACAAGAGACGGTTTGTTGTTCTTGGGTGAGAATGCCTGGCTGTTTATGGCGAGAGCCCAGTGGCTTGTAGAATTTACGCAGAGGAGAAGCACCGGGTTTTATTGCTGGCAATATTTAGGGGGTCTTACAGGCATCGAGTCTCAATTTAGGTCAGATCATGATGAAAAAGAGAAACGGGCTGAACTGCAGCACATACACCACATCTCTCTCTCTATTTCAGCACTGCATCGGCTTGTCTGTCATATCTAGTTTCACAGCACACAGACAAGGGAACATCATCTAGTATTTATTAACGGAAACACCCAGCGAGCAGGAACTTGTTTCAGAGTTTCACAGGGAGCACTGACACAGGACAGTTTAGTTTGGCATGAGCGTCCAACAACCCAAAAAGAGAAAACTATGACTCAGACACAACACAACAGCCCTGTGACTCAACATTTCCTGGATGGTTGCTCGGTCCAATTGAATAACACAGACTTTCTCATTTTCTAGACATTTTGCAATGTGTCTTCTGATTCTTCGTCTCGCTCACAGCATGTTTGGCAGGTTATACGACCTTACGTGACACAGCCAGGGTGTTGTATTGCAATGAAATTAAGTGGAGGATTGAAAATGAAAAACAAGGGGAAGCACAGACTCAGTCGCATGAAGATAGCATGGGTCTGATATGTGCACTAGAACAAGTATACGGGAAGAGTCACACCCAGAGATCCCCATAATCTTTGTTCACACCATTGGTCTTTGTGCATTAGTGGGTGTGTGAGTGAGGAGAAACAATGGTGTCCCACAGAGTAAGAGCACTTCAGCCGTACAGAGAGGGGAGTGAAAAGGCTGCGAGGAAAGAGGAGGGCTGGGTGGTATTCAAGTCTATGTGGCTTTTCCCTTCAAAGGCTATGTGGGTAGACCCTCCGAGCAAAACAGACACGCCATTACTTCACCCACAAACATCGTACTACACCAGTTGCACACAGACAACGCAGATGGGGGAGCAGGGAGGGAGCATAGAGAGGGGAATTGTAAACAGAAGAACTTTTCAGACTGGGGAGGGGGGGTTGAAGAAAGATGGAGCAGTCATTGTAAAGGAGATGGTGGGCTCACATGCCACTCGCTTTACAATGCAGATGAGACTCATGCCATTTCTCAAGCTCAAACACAATAGTACCACTACTTGTTGTCAGGTTAATGTGCGGAGACAAACCACCTTCTGTCTGCGAAAGACTTTTAGTCTGACAGAATAATGATGAGAAGAGAAGTACTTTATTAAACCAGTCAGAAAAGTTAAAAACAGTCATCCTACTTCTCTGCCGAGTAAGGGCCTGAATATATCAGGTCAACTGAGTCAAGAAACAGCCTTCATTTTTCAAAATTAGTAATGAGTGACTGTAATCTCAGATTGCTTGTGGTCTTATTTTAGATCAATTAATTAGTTAATTAATGACTAATCCACCTTGCCAAATAACAGGTTTGTGGGTTGTCTGGGTATATCATCATTTATTGGTTTGTACTGGTTTCTTAACTCCTTTATGAGTCAACAATTAAACTAAATATCTTTAGTTTTTGGACCGAATTAATATAAATTAATAGTGGGATAATCCTTGACAACTGCTAACACCACATTAAGTGAAATTCTAGGGCTCACATCCAGAGCTCATGGGTGACAGTGCTGTATGTAAACACCATAAACCAGTGAAAACTCCATATTTACTTTTTTTTCTGTTTTTTTATACATATAACAGAGGCCCTTCCTGACACAGCCCAACTAGGTGGACACTGCACCACTTCAAACCTTATGTTCAAGAATGACACTCTTTGTTTGAGTCTTCTTCCACATACGTAATAATTTGATAAGTAAAAATGACATCCAAATGACATCCTATGTTGTTGGCACAACAAAAAAATAACCAGGACATCACAACTAGTAACAAAACAAAACAAAAAATGAAAGAAAGAAAAAGACTGACTTCTGTATTACTGAAAAAAGCAACAACTAATGAAGGGATCCGTTAAATATGACTTTTTTTTTATTCATTATTTTATAACATATAATTGAATTTATGGCAACTCTTGTCATGGTTTGTGCTAAATTCTAACAATGACCTAATTCTAACAGGCCTGGACTTTTTGTCTAGCAAAGGTTGTCATTTATATAAAAACAAAACACAAAGGTAGTCAGAATATTGAAGTAAAACACTATTTCAGTACCAAAAGTAGCAACATTTCCTTTTTAATTCGACATAAAGACGGCGTTAACTTACCCAGAATAGAATGTTGAATCCAAATAAACAGTATTTGACACAGCAGCTGACTTCGGCTCCTTTTATATGATGATGTTTTCTGCTCATTCTTCCAGGGACGGTGCGGCTAACAGGATAAGCTAACTTAATAACTACTTCTCCAGAGGTTTCGCCAGAGCTGTACTTCTTAAGCAACAGAAGTCAATGTTCGCTGACTCCATCGGCTACTAAATAACGCCGAGTTTTCTCGACATTAAACTACTTCAAACATATAAGACGACTTTTCTTTCCCTCTTTCGCCCACTTAGGTCGTGCTAGGCCAGCTAGCTCACAACTTCTGTGGTTAGCATTAGCTGCTAACAACAACAAATGCAGGGATACTTTGTTGTGCATTCATCTGCAGCTTGGTCGATGACCTGTATAGCCCACCGTGATATCGTGGCTGACCGAGGTGATGGAACTGCGCGAGTCTTTCAGCGAACCGTCTTCTCCATTATCTGTGTCGCTGCATCGTCGCTCCAAATCCTCATCCTTGTTGTTTTCTGCTGTAAAACAAGGCTCTGCTGTCAAAGCCCAAACGAGGAAACACCACTGCGCTGGCTTTCGCCCTTTTCACCTCAAGAGCGGCATCTCGTGTTTCTGGGAGGCTCCTCACTTTTCCTCGATGAAAAACAGGATACATGGAAGATAAACGACATACGCTATTTTTTTAATACCGCGTTAGAAAGTGTTTTTTAACATATGCAGCAAAAACTGAGAAAGGTTGCGAGTTTGCACACAAACTATAAATACGAGAATAAGGACACAATTCAATGACATTTATTTGGAACGGTTGTGATTTCAATATGTTATAGGCTATGATACTGTATAATAATAATAATACATATATCGTTATTATCAGAATTAATTTTCTGTCGAATTCTTGAGAACTTTTTGACTTGCAACAGAAAATATATATAAATATTTATTTCCGGGACTCAGATGGAAATTCACTAAATAGTGAGCACCGTTTGTTGAGAAGTGACTTGGTTGTAAACAACAATAAAATCTAATATTTCTGAATTATTGCTTCAGAATGAATTTGATTAAATTTACATTTCTGAAACAGTTCATTAATTCACAGTTCATTAATTCAAAAGACAAGCACTATCTATCTAGCAGATCTATTTGTGGAAATAGAAATCGATCTGACTTGGATTTTCAGTACATCATGTTAAAGAGAGGTATTTAATGTGTTTTATCCATAAAAGGCATTTTCGCCTAAATATGTCCACCCATGTCAACATATCTGCTTTAATTTGTAGCCAGACCAGACAGCAGGATGAATAGTGTTGTGTGAGATGAAGGTCTGCACTGGAATGAAAGTCAGCCGCAGTGAGACAGAAGTGGAGACGATGAAAAATGGACGAGTTCAAATACATGCACCTGGGTCAACTATCCAAGCAATGAACAGGGGTGAGAGTCAGGGGTGAGGTGTGATAGGGTGATAGCAGCAGGAGTAGGAAGGTTGGTTTACAAGACAGTTGTGAGTGAAGTATAGTTTATGGTGCTCTATAAAAACAAGTGGGGCTGAGCTGGAGGCGGAGGAGAGGAAGATGTTGGGAGTTTCACGAGAGGTGACCAGGAAATGAGACATAAGCATATCAGACAGTTAACCCCGAGGAGTACTCAGACATACAGATAGGGGGCAGAGTTAATATGGTTAAGGTAAGGTGGAATAGCAGATATGGAAGAAAGGATGTTGGAGTGCAATGACGTGAAGATCGTCCAACGGTGGAAGTAACAAAGATTTGATTATTACTGGTATTAAAGGCCTTGACTGGTGCAGTGGGAGGATTCCTGTCTTCTATACGCAAGGTTCTGGAATGATCCCACCTAGTCTCCAATCCCAGGTTGCATTGCTTCAGTCAAAGGCATCAGACCCCCGATGAAGAGACAAGCCTAAGTGATTCTTCCTGAAGCAATGCAGCCCTCAGATATCATCCATCTTCACAGTGGGCTGCGGCCAAGCCCAGGCCAGGGCAGTGTACACTCTGGACAGTTTGCCAGTCAATCACAGGGCCACATACAGAGACAAAGCTATTTACACTCATACCCATTGGAAATTGACCTGAACTGCGATCCGCCTGTTTTTGGACTATGGATTGTCGAAAGAAAACCCACAGATACACAGGGAGAATAGGAGAAGTCCAGAATGAAAAGCCTGGGAAAGGTGTGCGATCCGCCTGTTTTTGGACTATGGAGTGTCGAAAGAAAACCCACGGACACACAGGGAGAACAGGAGAAGTCTGGGAAAGGAAATCATCTTGCTGACCACATTTACAGTACCACTGTGTGTTCCATTAATGAATAACACTAAAACATATATATCTACTACCACTAATAATAATAATGATAATAATAATAACAATATTTTCATTTGTGCAAATAGCATTCTATACTTGACATTAAAATGTGTTAAAAAACTAATATTGGCAAAAATGATTGTAATTCAGCCATTAATAACTATGTTGTTATTTTCTTTCCTTCTCCAACATGATCAAATCCTGATTCCAGAGACCAGAACACAAACTGTCTCATGTCAGGAACCAGCAGGTTGGTTTGCAGCTGTCTTTGTACACGTTTGTCCAGTGCTGGGATCATTTAGGCTTCATTTGAACTTCTGCCTGGAGTCCAACAGATGGCAGTCTTTGAACCTTTGAAAAATGTGACTTTGATTTTTTTTTCTTTCTTTTTTTTTTCCTGTGGTACCCTCAGGGGTTGCTTCTTAGCGGGCATTTCAGCCTAATAACACATCACCACAAATATGTGGCGTGTTGCAGAGAAAATACTGCTCAACCCTTGACGGTACAGCCAAACAAAACAGTCTGCAACGGCTGTGGTTCAGCCAGACACAGTGGATTTGTTAACAAAAGATGTTTAGTATTTTCACAAATGTTATTTGAACTACATTTAATTATTATCATTTACTGACCAAGTTGCCATGCAGTTGTCACAGAGAAGCTGTGAAATTGGTCGTATCTGTTGTTCTAAAATTGGGGGCGCAGACCATTTGCAGCAGGACAGTGAATATCAATTTCAGTTGTTTTTTTTTTCCAAATGTGCCACAGTGGGGTAATTGCTGGTTTCAATAAGAAGAAAAGTTTTGCAGGGGCTCAAATAGAGTTCACTTAAATAAAGATTATGAAGATTAGATAAAACATGAGCGTCATTTAAGATAGCTGAATTAGTACTAATAGATAAAACATGAGCGTCATTTAAGATTAATTAGTACTACCTTTAATGAGATACCTAATCCCTAATAGTGTCTATTAAATGTTAAATAATCTCATTTATATTCATCATAAGGAGAACAGTGCACACGCGTGACTTGTCATGTGTACTGCGTAATTTCTTGTGTCTCCACTGACTTGTTTTGATAAAGACTCCCAAGAGTATCATAAGGAGTAAAAAAAAAAAAACACCCCCAGTGGTTCACAGTAAAGCTGATTAAACTGCAGTAACGTTTGGACCCACAAGCATTTCAACAGTTATCCATGCAATGAGGCATCAGCACATTATCACCAACAGTAAATAACATCACAAGGTCTGGCAGATCAATCTGTGTGTCATCATTCCTTTTTTTTATTATTATTTTGCAATCTTTTCAGTAATGATACAGTTATGACATATACTGTGAGGTGTAATGAGAAAATGCACGTTAAACGAGGTGAAACCAATCCGTGACAGTTACAGGCTGGAACCTGCTGAAGTTGCCAGGTCATCCCTCAGCAAGTGTCCCTGTCACTCCAGACGCACACTGGAGTAAATATTTATAAATATGCTGATGTGTTTGGCCTGCATGGTAGGAAATGAGAGAATGATCTGTTGTGTGCTCTGCTGCTGGACTTGCCAGGACAGGAATGGTGTACCATGGCCCATGGAGATATCCCACATTCAAAATAGAAAGCCAGCCCTGGATTGACCCACATCATAACAACTTGTTGCATAATGCAGAAATGTTTGTAATATTTTTTAAAAATTAATTTGCTGGTCTCTGGCTGTTTATTTGTAAATGTCACCTCTAAGCAAATCGAATGTCAAACGCTGCACAATTAGCTGCTTAACTGGAAAGAACAGAAGTGCAAATCAGGTATAAAAAAAAAAATCTCAGATACAAAGAATTTACATCTTAAATGTATTTAAAGTAAACATTTCCTTCTAATCCTCTGTCCGCAAACACATCTCAAGCGCGTAGCCTTCTTCCACAGTTTTTTTTCTTCTGATGAGTGACATAACTGATTCAAGAAAACACTGACTTATCCAAAAAACTTAAGAGGCGTAAACATCAATATCTAAAGCTTTCAAAAACGTCGACAACTCATTGCCCATTTTGGTCATTGATCTCCTTTGCAATCATCATAAAACACCTCGGATTATTCCTGCAAAAAATCAAAAGAGTGCTCCATTCAGCAGAAATGTCTCTGCTCCATCTGACACGTACAGAACCGTTTCATCGACACATCCTTGACACCGTCATTCATCAGAACTTGTCTACAAAGCCTTACATTCATTTAAGCAGATGCAATACATAAAGCAACACATATACTGTGCACTGTGTTAAAGTAAATATTGCACCGTGATAATTAAGTCTCCGTTGTCATCTTCCGCAGACTTAAATGGATAACATACTGCAGTGAGTACTTCCACCATGCGTGATATGTGAATACCGTGTGTCCTGCCCACCCCTGTATTTTGTCATTAAAAATATGAAAACCAACTTAACCAAAGATCTGCTCAATCACTACTGCTTTTAAATCTCTGCTTGGTTAAATATGGTCCTTTATCAATACAGCACACAGAGCGATGCATGAGCAACATACTGCATAGTCATGTTAAATAGAGATATGTATTTACATGATGACCACTACATGTGACCCGGCCATGACTTTAAAATTGGTCTCTAACAGTGTAAAACTGTTGTTACTGCAAAGACATGTTTTGTTTCGTGTAAAAGTAGAGAGTATTTAATCTTTGGGTATTTTGCACATTTTGGTATTTATGAGCGTATAAGCCACAGCCATTAATTAAGACGCTTGTTCTCGTCAGTCTGCACTACAGTAGGAATCTCCCCAAAAAAACATTGCATCACATTTTTTTTTCATGTTGATGCTGCGTTGACAGAAAAGTCTACAAATCTTGGGAGTGTTGCTTCACGACTGACACAACATTCTCACAAATCAGTGGAAACAGTGCTTCTCTTCACCCTCAGGCTTCCGCCCCAGCCTCGGGGACATGTGTTGTACGAGTGAAGGCCGGGTGACCGAAGGCCCGAGTCTTCAGACTCGATGGAGGCGTCAGAGTCCGTGAGGGAGCGAGTGTTATAAAGCCTCACCGGGGAACAGATCCTCTGTGTTGGAGTGGGAGGCGGGCTGGTGAAGATGGGGGACCGGGCCCCCAGTGCTCGTGACTGGAAGGGGCTTGTGGGGGATTTTTGACAGTCGTAGCCATGATGCGAATTCCCCAAAGGTGAGATGGGAAAGCTGTGACCACTGAGTGCACCAGGGGAAGGACTGTTCTTACGTTTGGCTGCATTGATGATATTCTTTGCCAGGAGGCGATGGTTGGGTTTAGAATCTAAATTATTCACAATGGGGGACATGCAACGACTGTCTTTGCTTGGGGAAATAGGGGAGGTGGCAGAAGATGTGTACAGCGGTTTAGTGGTGGAGAAGGACAGGCTGGAGTGAGACGGGGCTGGGGACTGAGAACGTGAACCCCAAGGTGGGGACATAGGGGATGTGGTTAAGGGTGTTGTTGGTGAAGGTTTGGATGTAGAACTGGAAATGGCAGCACTCTGGTTTACCATTGGAGATTGACATCTTGAGCCCCACGGAGGAGATACAGGAGATGTGGCAGATTGTGTTTGAGAAGGTCTGGATGGAGAAATGAAGTTGGCAGTGGTGGCACTTGGGCTAGTCATCGGGGACTGACATCTTGAACCCCAAGGAGGACAGATGGGAGATGTGGTTTGGGAAGGTTTGGACATGGAACTAGAGATGTTAGTGGATGTATTTTGGCTTACTATTGGAGACTGACATCTTGACCCCCACGGAGGTGAGGCGGGGAATGTTGTTGTAGATTTGTATGTTGGTCTGGATGTTGCATTTGAGACACTAGAGCATGTGTTCTTGCTAATTGCCGGAGACTGGCATCTGGACCCCCACCTGGGTGAGCATGGAGATGTGACCGTAGGTCTGAAGATAGGAGTGGGATCAGTATTGGAAATGTGGGTATTTTGATTGGTCAGTGGAGACAAACATCTTGTTACTGGAGGAGGGGACATGGGAGCAGTGAATGAGCGATTGGCGCTGGATGCAGTGGTGTTAGAGGGGCAATTAATTTGAAGGCTGGAGGTCCAGGTTCCTGAGGTGGTACTCTCTGGGCTGCTGGAACTTCTGGTGAAACTCGGGGTCCTGGTCGGCTGGGTAGTCTCACGACAGGTCTCAACTGTGGCTGAATCTGTTGGTGTCTGTTGACAATAACACATGTTGTTTAGACCAGAATGCTTGTAAATTCAGTAAAGACACAATGATAACAAACTGACAAAATGCTAATGATAAACAAATGTCTAAACGTCTGTATGATATTTTTCTCGTTTTTTTCATTTAATTAATTTCTGATTTTTTTTTTCCTGTAAATGAAAAAGTCTAAACGTCTGTATGATATTTTTCTCATTTTTTTCATTTAATTAATTTCTGATTATTTTTTCCTGTAAATTAAATGTCTAAACGTCTGTATGATATTTTACACTGATTTTGTTTTGTTTTTTTCATTTAATTATTCAAGTTTTTTTTTCTGTAAATGATGGAAAAAAATGATGATGGATTTAAGCGTGACACCCAGAAAAATATGGGTCGTCTCAGGTGTATTCCCTGATCCTGTGTTTTTCAACAATATGCCTCACTATCAGTATTCACAGGCCTGGTCTTTAGTGTCTCTCTCAGGTTACTGTAGTTTTGCATTCCTGAGGTGGTTACCCTTTACAGGGATATAAAATTACTCAGCTGAACATGGCATTCTATGCTGACCAACCATGCTTGGTATAATAATGTTACGGTCGCCGGGTAGAGGCTAAACCAGGAGCAGTAAAGTTTTGGTCTTTGAAGATGTGCTTGTGTTTGGGTCATCTGCAGAAGAAACAAAACCCAGGTCAAAGGGCAAGTCCTTTGCCTGACAGTCCAAGTGTCTGATGACGAAACAAGACCAAAGGTCAGGTCTCCCCATAAACACTCAAGCCAAAGCCAAACTGAAACAAATCTTTTTGAACTTTAAATGTCACAAACTGCTTCATATATAGTTCCATCGTTTCATGTGAGTTATTGTATTACAGAAGTGGATTTGATGTTATATTCAAGTGTTTACTGTTAGAGCAAGAAATGCAAAAAAGAATAAGAAAATAGAGTGAAATAAGTGGCTGAAGTCAGGAAGCTTGAAAAGAGAGAATAGAGTCCAGAGCACAGTGTTAGAATAAACTTTAATCAAAAAAGATTTAGGTGAAGACAAAACGTAATGGACAGGAGAGGACGTAAATCAAGCGTCTTAAATGGTAGCATGCATAAGCTCTGTTATCTTAAACGTCAGTGATTGACGGCGTCCTGTGAAAACACACTTAAGGAATTACTGCGTTCTGTCACTAAAACAGTAAACATGCAAGGTGTTGTAAATTAGCATGCAGCCTGCAGATCAGAAACAGCCCAGATTCAGGAGACAAACCACATATCTAGGTAAAAAAAAAGGCTGGGAAACAGAGTGCAGTACCATGAAGTCATAAAGAGAGCTGTCTTGCAACTCTCTTGTCAGTCAGCAGCATTAAATTGCAAATCATAGATCATAAAGCAGATGCCAGACCATCTGTTAAAGTGCTTTGTGAAGCGGCGTTCCCCTAGTGACGAGGCCGGGAGACAAAGTGGGAAAAGTGTAAAGTTGTTTCTCATCACATCTTAAAATGCACTCGAAACAGAAGTGAAGTACAGCAGTGTACAGGAGCTCTGGGTATACAAACCTACTGGTTACATCCCGGCACAATTTGTTTAATTTAGTGGCAAGCAGTGTAATGTGTAAAGGCTCACACATTTGACTTTATCTTTGGCACAGAAGAAGGTAAAGAGAAAACGAAAGGCACAAGGGAGAAGGCACAAGTGGAAGAAAAAGTGCATGAAAATACAGATTGTAAATCCTCTCGAGTGGGTGTTAGTTTTACAACCATGTGCAGTTTCAACAGAAGACCCAGAAGTGCAACAAAAACAAATGTTCTAAAAAAGATGCTGAGGGGGTTTCCACACCTGTGCTTCAAGTCCCGCCTTTTTGGCACAAAATGTGGGTCTCGGTGCTTGAATTGCACATCGTGGAGAGGATTCTCTTTCAGGAGACAACACAGCCATAGCAGAACTGATCCTTGGCTGCACCAGGACCGGAGTTTCCTCGCGCTCAGCTCCTCCTCTGGGGCTAGGCATCTGCTGAGGAGACATGCACTGGGGTCTGTAGTGAGTAGGGGGGTTGCTTGGTAAAGATGCATGTCTTGACAAGGGTTTTCCGAACTTCTGGTTCTTCTGTGGTGCTCTTTTGGGTAGATATTTCAGTGGTTCTTGCACCGGGCTAAAAGTAAAGAGGGATGGGTCGATCTGGTAAGGCTGGTGCCTTGACAGATCCATCTCTATCTTGGAGCATCCGTTCTCTAACGGCTCTGGTGCTGGCTCTGGTACCGGAGCTTTTGGTCTTTGTTTTGGCTTGGCCACTTGCTGGGTCTTTGGGTTGTGTGAAAGCTGAGCACTAATGTCCGTGTTCTTAACAATAGCTTTGACTCTGCCAGGCATGTTGGATGGGTAAACCCAGGAAGGCGGCAGAGACATCGTAGGAGATGGAGCCCGCATTTTATTGGCATCCTGCTTCTCAATAACATATTTCTCCATCCTGGATTGACGCTTGGCAAACAGCTCAGCCCCCTTTCCAGAAACGTTGGTAAGGTTTTGTTCTGGCCTGTGTTCTGCCCTGGGTTTGGTTCTGGAGCTTTTAAGACACGAGGTCCACTCTGGTGCTTTAGCTTCCTCGACCCGGGCCTCTTCTTTGGCGAGGAAGTTGGACGCCTCTGCACCCAGAGCCATCAACTCTTCCTCAGATGTGGGCTCAGGCACGGATCTGTGTTGGTGTTTCTTCTTCTCGTCCACACCCTGCACCAGAGACAGCAGCTCAGGGTTTGGAGCTACCACTGGCTTCTCCTTGAATGTGAACATGGACTTCCGTGCTGCTCTTCTCGTGGTACCATCCTCAAGTACACCTGTTTTAATTGGCGAAACCGTCTTTCTTTCTGACATGGGCTCGGGCGCAGAGGTAGATGGTTTCGGGGCTGTGGGAGGGCCGTAATGAGGCATGGGTGGATAACGTGATATAGAAGAAGCCGGAATCTGAGATGGCGGAGGGGAGGTTGGCGACTTGACAGGAGACATCGGAGGAGGGCTGGTGTAGTAAGCCTGTGGGGGTTGGTTTGTGAAAGCTGGCAGAGGTGGTGTGGGATATGAAGGTGGTGGAGGTGGAGGTGAAAATGTCACAGGTTGTGGAGCAGTGAATGCAGGCAGAGGAGGGGTGTCATATGAGGGAGGGGGAGGGATGCCCATGGTTGGGCTGGTTGCCTCTGGAGACTGCACTGGTGGTGGGGAGAAAAACGGCCTGGCAGTTCTGTTGACGATGGTGCTCACTCTGTCAGATGTGGACGTGCTGTGGCAGCCGTTAAGAGTCACTGTAAAGGGAGCCGGCTCTGTTTGACCCCCGATGATTTTGGCCTCCCGTTCAACATTACCCATCACGACCGGATCCCTTTTAGTTTCGATGAAAACCTCATCCTCCACTTTGCTCTCCTGAATCTCCTCCTCCTGCTCTTCCTTGACAGGGAGGAAGTGTCGCTCCAGGATAATGCTGTCCTTCAAGTCCTCTGTGTGGTAGTTCTTATTTGGTTCCTCCATGATATCACCCACTGCAGGTACTCTTAAAGGTGATGGGGAAAGTATTTTGGTGGAGCCGTTCTTCAAGTTGAGATTCCTGTCGTTTTCTTCACTGTTCCTCTCTGCACATGTCGGTTTGTTAGTCGAGGGGTCAGTTTTCACACTCTGCTCCTTGTCCTCCTGTGACCTCCCTCCACTGCTTTCAAGTGTGAAAGCGCTGACTCTCTGCTTGCGGCGGTTGAAGAGCTGCACGCCTCTAGAGTTTGAGTTGGAAGGGACGGTGAGCTGAGAGGCGATGAGGTGACTCCGGACTCTGGCGTCTTTCAGCTCCTTCTCTGATAAACTCGCGCTGCGGGTCAAATCTGAAAAGGGAGCGACAGGAAGAGAGACAATGAGAAAAACAAGAATTTGTTTTTTGGGGGTTTTGTTCATAATGTCCAAATAAGTACTTCTCCCTCTCCATCTCATTACAGCTAACCACGCTTTATGTATCTATAAAGACAGAAAAACCCAAGTGAACATTTTTTAACAAGTGTGGGACTGACTATTCGTTTTTCAGCCCACAAAATAGTTTCTGACCAGCAAGTTTTTTTTTTTATTGTTCTTTGTTCCTTATTGTTCTCACTTTATTTCAACCAAGACTGGAGTTGTAGACAGTGAAATAACAGACAAAGACATGTCAGTAATAAGATAAACAGGGTTAACAGGCCTGCTGACATGTGTGAACAGCAGGAACTGGGTCATCTTCTTCCGTAAGAACTAAAACAAATCACCCGTGTTAAACACTGCCCCTGCAGTTTGCTGACTGCTCTGAAATTAGGAGCTAAAATATGTCTCAGTTAAAGCTGACAGTTTGTTTTTCAAGCATAAGAGCTCCATTCCAGGCAGTGGAGCTATTTCCTCTGCCATCTGCAACAGTCCCTCCCTGAAAATTCCTCCACCGCTGAGAAAACTCCCTGCCTGGGCTTCCAACATGCCTTTGGTTTTTCTGTGAAGCTAATTTGTGCAACACTGCAGCTCAAACCCTTAATGGTCCTCTTTTTTTTTTTTTTAACAATCTGCAGCTTCCAAAAATGAGATCTTTCATTTGACATCTATAAACATACTATACAGTCAAATACCCCCCCTCCCATCTGCATCCAGCTGCAAAACTGATTTACAGACGTAAATCAGTGCAGCTTATTTACATCTCAAGAGGAAATTAAACATTTTCAAATGATTCTAGCCGTTCCTTCAGCTAAGATTTTTTTTTTTCCAACAGTGTATTTAGACCGCTGTTTGAGTTGCTACAATTATCGTCATTTCAGCAACTTTGACCACCTGTTAGGATGTCAAACTTAAATCACTTTTTCTTGCAGAGATGATAAAATCGACATGACTCCTGTTCCGGTTACGAGAATCAAACTCATCAAAGAGTTATTTTGATTTTTAGGGACTCATTTTGAGATTCATTTATGAACTAAAAAAAATCTTGAAAAACAAAAAAATAGTCACAGTGAATTCCGGAAATGCATCAATTCTGAATGTCAAGTCGATCAATCTGGCACCGACCCCATGGCCCCAACATTACAGTTATGGGATCACAACAGAAGTCGGACAACTGCATCAACGTGCCAATCTGGCACCGACCCCATGGCCCCAAAGACGGACAACTGCATCAACGTGAAGTATTTTTTAAAGACGCGCGCCTCTCAGTGGTAGAGGCAAAGTCATACCTCGGTGTCAGTCACCTGAACCAGCACCGTCACACAGTCACTCACTGTACAGGCAGAGCGTTCGACGGATGTTGACTTTACAACTTATAGAACATATGCAGGTTACAATGATACAACTTTTATTCTCCATTTAGTTTGTAATTCAATGTTTTTCCTAAATATATCAAAACATAAATCTGATGTAAGGCAAAATTTATGAAAATCTCATCACTCCCATGATTAGACTTTTAAAGAAAAAACACTTTAGGTCTTAAACAGAAGCTCCCCTTGTCTGCACAGATGGTATAAACAATAATAAAATGAATATAAAAAGCATCAGAGAACAGAAGGTTTGAACCCCAAAAATAAACTAAATGAACTTCTACATTTGAGAAAAATCTGATGGCTGTTCAAAAACAGGCACTTTCACTTCAAATGTTCTGCTCACCCACGTCATTTAAAAGTTGTATTAGTCTCCCAGGGTTCTAACTCCTCAAGTTCCTCATCTCTTACCTTTTTCATGTCAAAACTTTTATCGAGTTCCACCGTTTCCTAGTACCTCCAGAAAAGTTTTCAATCTAACTGCGTCTGATCGCTTCACACCCCCTTTTCTGTACCAAGACTGAGACATTAGATCGGATTTCTTCTCCTCCAACGTCCGGCAGAGAGAGGGGAAGGCAGGGAGAGAAGTAGGAGGAGGTGGGAGGAGGAGGTCTGTAGCTGGAGGCTGTGCTGTGTGTCTGTCAGTCAGCCTCCAGCTCTGTTTCCCTAGTTAAAAAAAAATCAGTGGTACCAGCCTTCACCACAGGGTTTCCACTTGTAAAAACTGGGACGTAGTTCTGAGAAGACGAGGTCAGGGCTTTTGTTGAGACAGAATTATTGATGCATGAGTGCTTGTACTTTGTTTTGACAGTTTGGACGCCTTGTGCAATCAGTGTTGACCATTAGCTGGCTTATCTCTGTCCAATATCCCGTGATGGCAGGGGCGGACTGTGACCCCCTCTACACGCTTTGAAGTGGAAAGGGGACCCCGGAGCTTATTAGGCTACGAAACCAGAGCTCAGCCCCTCTGCTGCCCTCTACTTGGTCTGCATTTCAACGTGTGTGTTTTCAGTGAACTCTCCTCACTCATATGTCTGCCCTCTATGACTCCTCTGGGCCATGAGCTCCAACCTACAAGGTCAGGAAAGAAATTTCCTGTCTCAGTCCTTGGCAATGATGCAAGAGACCCCAGGTTACATTGTCCACCCTCCCTTTTCACATAACTCTCCCTGCCCTCGGTCCCATCCCCAAGAGTGGAAAAAAAAAACTCCCCCACAGGAGGAGGATTTGAGTTAGGAAGGCCAACCATGCTTTTGTGTATCAAAGGTCAGATTACTCTGTCGGATGTTATCTTTCTGTGGGTGATAGCTGTGCGGGATGACAGCACTTGCCCCCATGGGTGATGTGTGAAGCGGTTTGAAAGACAAGGATTAACAGAGGTCCTGGGATCGTACCAGACCGGCTTTGACCTCCCCTCCTTGTGGATCCCATGGGGGAAACGTAAGCCCGGCACCCAGGTCTAAACCTCTGGGCTATTCCGCACATGGATACTCGTGTGCATCGCATCGCTGCTCTTTGTTGAGATGGAAGCCAACTTCCATGCCTGTGTTGTACTTTTTAGGATTTGTCAGAAGACCAATTGGCGAGTAATGACTGATGGGAAGAGTGCAGGAAGTCCTGATGTTAATCAGACCTAAGACCTGAGAACATAATAGTTTGTAACGGTCGGAGCCCGTCTGTTTTGCAGCCTTTAAGAACAATGACCACTGTTTTGTTTTGTTTTTTCGATGATGTTTAAACGATTTGACATTTCGTTGAGTGAAAAAGAATGCAGGAATTCTCCTTTGCTGTTCTCACTCAAACCCCCCCTCTCTCCCCCTCCCCACCGCCCTGCACCATGTGCTGTAAACGTTGTTGTCAATCCTCAGTCAACGAGTTAAGTTCGTTAGTGAAGAATTAGCCTCTGACTGAGTTAGCAGATTCAATTTATATATAAAAAAACATTATTCTTTAAGATTGGAAGCTAGTGTTTTCAACTGGATGATGGAGTTATGCTATTCAGGACTAGCACATTGTGTGGAGCGCCCCCTGTTGTTCAGCCTGTAGCATTTTACAACCTTAACAACAATAGGATGAAACTTTATTCACGTCCCATTAAGATAAAAGACACCACTTTAAAACTATTTAATTATATTAAAACTATATCTTTGTTAAGTTATTTATTTTATTTATTTTTTGGTTATTTAGTTCAGGCTCCAAAAACATCAGGCGGAACTAAACTAGTGCCGTTACCTTTCGCATATTCATCGCCTTCTGCTTTGAGTCACATTGCTGCCACCTACTGGCTGTAATTTCAACCTGTTAGCTAAGCAAAAGACAAATTAAAAAATGCAGACAAAGGGTAGCATCACTGCACCACACACTTTCTGTGATCACTTTAAGATGTCAGGAGTATTTCACTAGATTATATGTTGACTTTTCTTTTTTTTTGTTTTCTTCCTCCTCCACTGTTAACCCTGCCATCCCCTTCTCACAGAGATGACATTTGTTAAAGTGTAAAGAGAAGTCTGCAAATGTTTCCAACCAGCTTTTCCCACAAGTGAGGCTATTATTGCTGGTGCCTGTGTTGTATATTAAGTCTCGCCTTAAGCAGTGATGCATGATTGCATTTCCATTTCTGTCAGGACAGCCTGGCTTTTGGCTGCATGGAAACAGATGTTTCATTGAGCCTCTCACTGTGTCAAGTTGCACTGATGAGGAAGAGTTGCCTGTCTTCTCTATTGGCTGTCTGTGTCTTCTGTCTGTAGCTGCTCAGCTACACTGACTGTTGCGTCAAAGCTTCCCTCCACTGAAATGTATTTACAAATACTTTTTGGCACTAGGAAGTACCAGAGTAACAGAGCACTTTCATGCTGCTCATTGGACCACTCACATTAAATTCCAGATAAACACTTACTTGTTTTCTGGCTCATCTGTTCTTTGTTGAAGTCTGTCTTCCCCCATAATGCACTGCACTCTGTCCCAGGAGTGTGCACGTCTTGTGTTGCCTGGAGAGGTTTCCTCAATCCTCCCGGACTCCAGCTTACTCCTCTCCTGATAGCTGCGTGTTCCGTCTTCATTTCCATCACTACCCACACTTAACTGCCTGTGCTGCAGCTGCAGAAGAAAATAACCTACAGCTGTAGGAAATATGACAGCTCTGCTTTTGTCAAATAAATCTCCTCCTCCTTTGCTGATAAGACGAAACCACCAACCTAGTTGGAAAATGAAAGTTTTCTTCTCGCTGGCAGGCAGCAGGAAAGTTTGGTAAACACACAAATAAAAAGCCGAAAGTCAGAGTGTAGTTCAGCTCTCCAGGTTACTGCTTCTGGTCATGGTGCCAACTTCATGAGTTCTTCCTCCAAACATTCAGCTGAGAACTGATGTAAGGCATGTGCTCACTCCTCTCTCTCTTTGTTCTTCATGAAGTGTTACTCTCTATCTCGCAGCACCTCCCAGCAGGGCCAGGGCTTTGTGTCTTGGACGACTTCCCGTGGACAACAACCAGAAAAGCTCCGCTGGTTTGTTGTGCTCTCTTCAGAATAATCTGTTTTTGGATGAAACACAGTTTCTTTTACATGTCTTTGGTCTTTTTTTTTCTTCCTTTTCCCAGACGTTCGTCTCCCTCCTCTGCTATTTTTGGTCACCAAAACATGCTTTCTCGTCTGCGTCCCTATCTCCGGCACGCAGATTATTTTTCTCTCCGAAAAAATGATCTGCCCTTTATCCTGGAGATCATAACTCTGCAGAGGAGGCTGGCTGTGTATTAAGCACTTCCTGCTGTTAGTTGCATGTGAGGAATAACATTTCACTCTGCAAAGGTCATTCCACCAAGTGATTTGTATTCAGAGCTTCAAAGCAGTCAGTCCGAGTTGCTTTACTGGAGTTTCCTTTGTTATTTCTTTTGCGGTATGTTGCCAGATACGGCTCCCAAAGTCTCTTTCACGTGTTCAATCAAAGAACCCCAGTGGTCAAGGAAAGTTACTTATTTTTCTTGGCGACAAATTTGATTCATGCTGAAATGCACCCGGGATGAAGGATGGATCGTGAACCGAGTCGATTCTTGGCCTTCGGCTTCAACATTCAGTACTGTGAGTTCCGATTGTTCTGATTGGCAGATTTTTAGTGTGATGACATCGGCTGCATGTCCTTGTCGCGATCGGGTTCACCTACAAGAATGACAGGGAGACAGGTTTTACTATTTAATGTCACAGTAAAGCATCAAAACACTGTGGTTGTGTTATTGTAATGAAGAGAAGTGAGGTGATTTATTGATGTTCTGTACTGGCTTTCAGCTCCAAACAAATACCTTTGCCAGTGTATATCATTACGCTCGGTATAACAACACTACACTACAATAATAATGGTGATTAAAAATAAAAACACTCCAAAAGAAATACACAGTGCCACAGCGGACTCTATCGGGTATCCAGAACCATTCTTTAAAAACAGGCCGACCTTTAAACTTGATTACAGGGAAATTGAAAGTTTTCCAGCCTGACCTTTAGTCGAGCTGAAATGTTTAATGGTTAGAAATGAGACGACGCCATAAACATCAATGATAAAAAAAATGCCTTGATAAAAAGGAACTAAGGTCACAATTTGTTCTGACTTGGATGTCGAGAAGTGTGCGATAAATCCAAAGTATAATTAGCTTTATTTCCACATCTGATGATAAGGGAGGCAAAGTGACCGTGGCCAATCACATGTCAGGGAGGAACGGCACAAAAGGGAGAATGCTTCTCAGTTGACCCTGAAAGTTTAATGAACAAACAGTCTACTCCCTGCTACGTGACAGAAGCATCACTGTGGCTTGTTCCTGAGCCGCGGTTTGCTACCGCTGTTTTCCACATTTTTGTAATCTGTGATTCAGCACAGTTTACCAGATACCAGATTCCCATCCTGACACAAACACATTTGGAATTTGGTGCAAGGAGGAATTAAACCGACAACCGTATTATTGGCAGGCAGCTACCGCTACCGCTGCACAACTTGAGTTCCATGTTCTAGTACTCAGTAGAAACAACAAAACGGATAAATATGCCAGAAAAGAACTCTAGCAGAGACCAGTCAAATCTCTTAAAGGGACAGCGTACGACTAACTCCAAGTAGCAACATTTTGAACAACAATTGAACTGGGCACTAAATGTTGGGCTTGCTTGCTAACAGCAGATCAACATAATCACTCACTGACTTCAAGTCACCGTATGTGATAGCAGTAAATACTGAAGTTCTGTTTTAGTTCTATGTAGAAATTGGCATCTTTTTTTTATTATTTTGTACTGTGGTACAATAGGTTAGGCAACAATAAAGTGTCAACAGCTGTGTCATCAATAAAGTTGAAAAGTGTTTGCAACTTTTTATTGGTTGTAAAATGATAAAAGTGTCTGCATTGGTGTTCAAGGTTGCAGACCCTTGAACAAGCATATTATAAACCTTGAGCACACTAAAATGTGTGAGGAATAAATTATATATTACAGTGAAAAAAAAAAAATCTTCCCTCCACTTTGTCTGATAAATAATTCCGTAACATCTCGAGCGTCATGTTCCACTTTCAAAGCCGTTAGAGTGGGACACTCTGGACAGGTTTGAAATAATGAAGTGTCTTTGCACGTATTTGTCCTTGATCAGACTTGCCTCTCTTTGAACCTGACTTGTTTCTTTGTCTGTGAGTCACTGCTGTAACTGCTGGTGACTACAGTCCTGTTCAGAGAGCAGCCCACAGCTCAACCTTGGTTTATTATTTTTATTTCCAGTGGTTGTTTTTTAGCTCATGTTTAGAAAACCAGTGACATTGGCAAGACCACAAATATGTTTGCAGGCCTGGGATACGGCACCAGGCGTGAGATGCCCCCTGACATGACAGCTGAGTCATCGTGGTCTGTAGGACGGCTGCTCATTGGTTTTTGAACACAATCAGCCTGAAGAAAAACAGCACCCCACCTCTCTGTTGAGAAAAAAAAAAAAAAAGAGAGAGAGAGAAACGTTTCACAGTTTAGCTATCAGGCGTGAATGTGTCAAGTGAGAAGAGATGAAAGCTGGTACTGTTTAGTCCCTCTTCACAACAGCCCTTTGATTCCCCAGATGTGTTATTCTCCCTGGGATTGATCTGAACTCTCAGACATTGTCTTTTTTTTTTTTTGTATGAACTCTTTGTTCACCGTGTTCACGTGTTACGTGAAAACACTGAGGACGGAGGGCATGCATGTATCGAGGGTTTCTATTGGTCCTGCGTAGCAGATTGACCAAAACATGGTTTAAATATTGTCTGCGCTCCAGTCAGAAATAGTCTGACAAGAAACAGCTGTAAAAAAAAAAACTAAAAACGGAATGAATCTGGCGCAGATAAAACAACAACACATGGTTGTTTCTAGATGAAATCTTTCATCTGCTGCATCTGTTATTTGCCTTTTTTTTCTGTCCTAACTTGTTAATTTCCATCTTGGCTGTGGTGTTTGATGTAAACCAACCTGCGGTATCTTCTCTTCTTCCACCGATCCTATCTACCCACCGTGTCTGAGGTCTGATGTCAGTCCCTCCTCTCCCTCCTTCCTCTATCCTACAACTATCTCCAAGTTCAAAGGTGTTTTACAGTCCCNCCCCGACCACCCTCTCCCCCACGCACTTTTCCTGTGCCACCCACTGACCTCCACGTCGAGAGCCAAGGATATCATTTACAGTCTGGCCCGGAGGCCACTTCAGCGTGTAATCATGAGTTCCTGTACATCGTCGGCATACGACGGATTCATACACAGACAGCAGATCCATCCATCCCACAGCCCACCGCAACATGTCTCGCATAGTGATGACACACAAAAGGAAGACTCTGGCAGCTGCGCAAACCCTAATCCTTCATTTGTCCCTCCTGGCCATTGCTTTCTTCATTTATTAGGCATCAGCATCAAACGCGTGTCAGTCACCTCATAAATGATGTACTGCGTATATCTCCACCTGGGGTGTGAGATCTGTACATCACCTGTCTGCTCATGGATTCCAGTCCCTAAACCAGCGTATGGGCCGTCAGTCAACAAGTGCATGATGAGACACTCATTACCAAACCCTAATGACTGAAGGACTGTTTGTGTCTCAGCAGGTCTTCTGTTCAGTTTTGCAATATTTATTCACCATTTAGTGCAAACGTGTCAAAAGTCTGGCTCTGGAGCCAATCACCT